GGGGTCCCCCCTGGGCCCCTTCCCGCGGGGCCTTGTTCCCTGGGTCGGGGGGGGGGCTCCCGTTCATTGAATGCCCCCTTTTCCTTGTCAAATCTTGTTTATTATTTTTCCCCGGGGATGTGATAACACGACCCCTTTTTTAAATGGGGGGGAAAATTTTAAAAGCCGAAAAACCTTTTTTTTATAAAATATATCCTGAATAAAAATACTTATAACAAGTCTTCAAGAGAATGGCGAGAGTGTTTGATATTTAAGAAGAAGGAATTTCAAATTCTAAATAACAGGTTTGTTTGCATTTTATAAAGGAAAGTCAAAGTGAATATATAAATAATTAGTTGTGCGTTGAACATTTTCAGACAAAATTTAGACTAAATGCAGAAACTTTACAAATACAATAACCTATGTTATGACTTGCACGTTCAATTTACCAGCATATCTTTCCACTATAAAGATGCATATTTTTGATCAAATTACCAAAGTTATTTGTGTGGTTGTTGAAATGCCTTTTTTGTCAATTCCAAGTCCCTGATAGATATGGTCGGAATACTGGTACAAATTTATCCGGAGGTCTCACATATATATTGTCCCTGGACAAGAGAAAATATACTACCACCAGGATAAAATTTGAAATCATAGCTAATAAAAATGCTAGTGAAGTGTTAGAAGATGATTAAAATGTTCAAGAAGGTGATCTAGAGGAAATTGAGATGGAAATTTATATTGATGTAATTTTTCGAAGAAGATTTCGAGTAATAATTAATATATAATTAAAAAACTGTATTGCAAAACATTGAAAGGGGGGGGGGGTAATTTATATTCTTAAATAGCATTATCATTAACCCAAATTGAACAACAAAAAGTCTATTTAATTTCATGATATCTATACAAACAACTTTTTTATGATTAAGTGATGTTTTGTTTTTTTAAGCAAAACCACAAAGTTTATATTAAAATGTTAATAAAATAAGAGGATATTGGCGGCCATTTTGAATTTGGCGGCCATTTTGAAAAGTAATAACATCAATAAATTATGAAGTAAATCATTTTAGAGCCCTTGTCTATGATCTAAAACAAAAACCTACTACATAACAATTCATTTGGTTAAAAAAATAATGGTTATTTCAATAAGGCTGTTTATTAAAAAAATTGTGACAGGGGCAGATAATTCACATTGGCTTGTGTCTTAATGGTAAACGTTTCAGCCAGACAACAAGTTGCAAATGTCTTCCTATATGTTTATCTTTAAAACTACATGGGTCCCATAAAATACCCAGAGGGGGTAACCTTTTCCATTTCCAGCTCATACTCTTGAAAGAAGAAGAATAACCAGAACAATATTCAAATATACTTTCTATTCGACAAATAATGTATGATGCACTCTTACATGAGGTTGGTATTATAGAGGAATATGAAAACATTACAAAAGCTGCAGGCAAATATGTTTAATGCTATTAACGTGTTTGGACTCCACACTGACGTTCATCAATATTACTTATTAATCGGTTGTCTTTTGTGCGACCTCTTACGATGTTTTGTAGCGTATTGTTTTAATTTGTTAACAACAAAAACTGAAGTTTTATGTAAAGTAACGATATATTTTCTCAAATATACACGTATCCATTCGATTGTAATGTCATAAATATTGAGAACAAATACCAAGTTTGCTTGGGGTCGAGCTATGACATTTAAGGATATTTACTTGTATCCGACACTCTACTATGAATTGAGAACTATTATTATCATGGATAAATTTCTCTTCTTTGAACCAGAAAAGTAGGACATAACAGACATGTAATATGGACAGAAAAGAATCGACCAGACACTTACGCATGGAAATGAATGATGACAGCCATTCAATTTTAAAGAATCTCTGTCTGTTGATATGCAATGTTTTGGTGTTGTTGTTGTTTTTTTGGTTTGTTGTTGTTGTTTTCTTTTGTTGTTTTTTGTTGCTTTTTTTGTTCTATTTCTTTCCTTTAACGTGCAGTTACAAATAGTTAAGTCTAAGATGTAGTTGTCATTGTAATTTAAATGGTATTCTTATGCAGGTATGTATTTATTTTTGACAATTGCATCTGTCTTTTTGTAGATTGGTAAATCATTCAACAAATAATCTAATGCATTGCCAGATCAACACAAAGTCATAAAACTGAAAATGTATCTATTTTGTTTTGGTTCGTTTCCTAGTCTTAATCGAACGTAAACAACCTACTGTTTCATTTTCTTTTTGTAGCTAAGAAAGCATAACTTTACGTTTTATTTAAATATATCTTACTAAAATCGTGATTCTCAAAGATTTTTTTTTAAATTCTTGACATAAATTTAAAATCAGTAATTGTAAAGGCGTCCGGATGGCTGAGATGGTTAAATCACTTTTTCTGGCCCTATGATTATTCCATCTGAGAATTGATATTATTACCCCTCACTTTTTTCGTAATGCTAATTTCCCATAGGCCTCAGGGAGTTATTTTTACGGTTAATGCAAGTGTACCACGTGACTAAGAATTTTGTACTGTTACATTATTAAAGGGCCATAACTCAAACAAAAATCATTGAACCGGAAAATGCTGACAATATGCACAACTAGACTTGGTACTGATCATTCCTGTAAAGTTTGGATGAAATTGCACCAGTAGTTTATGAGGAGTAGTCCGGACAAGCTTTTGTGTATCTGGCAACACACAGAAAAAGAAACCTTTTTATCAAAGGGCCATAACTCGGCCAAAAATCATTCAACCGGAAAATCCGTGCAATATGCGCAAGGACTTGAGCTACAGATCAATCCTGTAAAGTTTCATTGAAATTGCATTAGTGGTATAAGAGAAGTAGTCCGGACAAACTTTAAAATTAAAAATTATTAAAGGGCCATAACTCTGACAAAAATCATTGAACCGGAAAATCCTGACAATATGCACAACTAGACTTGGTACTGATCATTCCTGTAAAGTTTGGATGAAATTGCACCAGTAGTTTATGAGGAGTAGTCCGGACAAGTTTTGTGACGGACGGACGGACAGACAGACAGACAGACAGACGGACAGACAGACGACGGAGAAGTGATCCCTATATGTCGCCACTACTCCGTAGAGGCGACACAACGAGGCTGTAAAGATAAGATTTGCTCCATTGATGATATCTATTAAAACATCACGTCGTGGTGTAAACACTGAAAGATTATTGGTTATATTAAATAAGGTTTTAAATACTGATAGTTCCTCTATTGAAGCAGGGTTATTATCTATTAAGATATTAGAAATTTTATGAATACGTTTGCGAGTCGTTTAAATTGTGCTTGAGTTCAACAATTATGCTTCACAAGAACGCCTGAAGCGGTTCGAATTTATGCTTGTTTCCCTGCCATTATCTAAGAGTATAACATATTATACAAATAAATTTATCTATCAGAAACAGTATATAAGAAAGAAAATTAACAAGCTTTATAATATTAATCATTTATTCTTAGTTCAGTCTATTTTTTCTATATTAATAATCTAACATATAACAGTTCTTTCAAATATTTACAGATATTTCTGAATCAAAATTTAATTTAAAATAGGAAAATGTAAAATGCAGTTCAATATAAAAATCTATTTCCTAAAATACACGTAATTCACCAGAACTCGAGGACAAGTTGAAATGTCGGCTATGATGAGTCATTCGTCAAAACAAATTCATTACACTATTTAGTAAAAACAAATTCATTACACTATTTAGTAAAAACAAATACAGTACACTATCGCGTATCACGTATTTTTCAAAATTGTATTTAATCAGAAAATTACAATAAGTTAGTTAGTAAAACATTATTTTGTGCTTATGAAAGGAAGTAACAAAAAACATCATTTTTGGGTCCTCCTGGGCTCCTTACCACTGACTCTAGTTACTGGGTCGGGTGGGTGCTGCGTTCATTGAACGCCACCTAACCTCGTGATCTTGTTCATCATATTTTTCACCAACAAAGCTGTCATCAAAGACGGATGAAAACACAAGAGTTACAAAAGTGGCTACAATATTACGTAACAGATCAAATGATCATTCAGCCAGTGGAAAATGAAAACTTCTAAAGAATAGCAGTAAGGCGCTTCCATAATGATATTGTCACTTACATACGGTTTCTATATCCACTGACCCTTTTATGTACTGCTACTCGCATGTATTTAGGAAATAAAATTATCGGTAGGGAGTAAATCGTTTACTTTGCTAAAAAGTAAACTGAACTTTAAGTAAATGTCTTCTTTAAGAGTTTTAACTAGTTGGGTTGTTTCAGTATTCCTACTGAAATACTCTATATTCAGCCTAAAGATATCCTGTCTTATTTTTTTAAAAATTGTCTTTTGACGTCTTATCTGTGATATGCAAGCCTCACTCTAGCTGTTCCCCTTTCTATTGTTTTTATTATTTTTGTTCCATTGCACATCCATTCTCTTAGGGATAAAACGTCGCTTTTCATGACATGGCACAAACGTGTCATATTCAAAGCCCCTAATGAGTGCATATGTACACATCTGTGTAAATATTTTATGTTTTAAAACGAATATCTCAACTTGCAAAATCTAATGGAACTCATCCCTTGCACACATATTTGTTTTATAGTTCGTTTGCAATTGTAAGTAAATAGGTACGGAAGTAAAGGCATTAATTCCCTTATAAATTAATTTATTCAGGTAAAGAGTTTCAAATATGATAAAATACGGTAAAATATCTGACATTTGTCGCATAGACTCGTCACCGCCCGATGGGAGTGCTTGTCGGCTTTATAATCAGACATTACTCGATATTCAAGCAATAACCATGAAACAGTAGCATCGTTGTTCCTATAGGTTTGTGGAAGATGTTCACACTAAACTGCTGTAAGCTGTTAGTGTTAATGATTTGCAGGCGCTGTGTGAAGACTTCTTTGTTGTCCAATATTACCTGAAATAATATTTTGTATAGTTAGCATCATGAGACGAAAAAAAATCAAAACAAAAACAACATCCAAAACAAGTACATCAAAAGCAGCAGCAACAACAAAGGCATGAAATAAGTAAATATTCATACAGAGATGATTCGATGTACTGTTTATGTAAGGCAAGGACGGGATCTTCAAAGTCTTCAAAAGTCTAATTTATTACGACAAAATAACTTGAACATGCATCCGATTACACATCTTAACTGTCTTAACATCCGTGATCATGTCCGACCCAACTTTAATAAAACATAACTTTTTACTATCGTAAATTCAGACTGACAGGGCGTTTGCGTACTGCATTACTGTTGTCTGCCTAACTTAAAGGATTGAACAAATTATGCACGAAACATTATTCCTACAATGTTTAAATGTTGCAAATATAAGCAATACACGTCAGCATAAGTGAGACTTAATTTAAACTTAAGGAGAACATTATGAAAATAAAACTACCATAACAAAGCAATCAAATAAGGACAGTCGTCATACTTATATAAAAACAGTTTTTAAGAGGCTCAACGGAGGTCCAAAATTTTGAAAACATAGATATTAAGTTTTTACAAATATCAATAAGAGCACTTGCGGAAAAATAATAAAAAAATATCATAAAAAGTTGTACTTATATGTAATCAAATTAAAAATCGATTTATTGTATTTCGAATTAAAGCTCAAATTGTATTGATAGCGTCTAATAGCTTTTCTTTTTGTAGTTGTTACAATGAAGGTAGACCATGGGTAATGGACACTATAAGAAACTGTAAAATTGACAACATAGGACAGTTATATATCATCAAGGTCACATGTATGAACATTTTAAATAAAATTTACAGTGTGGTTTATGAGTTATGGATATATTTCTGAACTAAGACTTTGTCATTAGAAGGGCTTATTTTCAGAAATGAGGAAACTCTTAATAATCTATAATATCATCATTATAAAAAATGTTTTCCTATTACTTATTTTTAAGAAACAAATAGTAACATTCAGGTAACAAATATCACAAGCAAAATGTTAGTTTCTAAACAAAATGTTCTTAATATGTATAAAACTGTTACCCTACCCTACCCACTTTAAACACTTATTTGACCATTTCCCTATTTCAAAAGCCTTCTTCAAAACATCACTAAAATATATCACAATGAGGGGCTGTTTTCTAAAATGTATATTGGTTGCTCATGCGCAATAAAAAATACTTTTACCGTGTATTTTTTTTATTTTATTCAACTTGAAAAAATATCTGGTATTAAGTTTGCTATAAATTTTGTTATTATTTAGCAAATAAATACCTACATTGATTATATAATTTAAATCAAACACTTTTTTCTTCCATAAGGGATCAGAGAGATACATAAATTATGTAAAAAAGAAAAAAAGAAAGAAAAAACGTTGCCCCTTCCGTTTTTGAACCCCTTCAATTTCAACATAGTTGGCGAGTGATTCTAGCCTAGTTGAATATTCTTCAAAGTGGAGGTCATGCATTACAAATGGTCTATCTTAAAATTATTTGTCAAGAAAAAAACATATTTGCGAGTTACCCCGGACAAGTAGTACAAACATCCCAAATATATTTCTAATCGTCTTTACAAAATATATTTCAAAAAGAAATCATATCATAATCATTCAAAACACAACAAACTAGGCTAATTGCATTATTCATCATAGTATGCTAATGGAAAACGTCGTTAAATCTAAAAATATTATTAAACTGGTTTACCTTCAGAGAATCACCTTGCGCAAGTATTGACAATTTTAAGATGTTGTCTGCTGGTTTTTCAGTTGACAATTCCTTATGCACAATTCTGCCAACGTCATCAGACTGTTGTTCATATTCGGATATTTGCACATTCTCCCCTTCCATAGAAGAGAAGAAACTGTTTGATAAAGTAGAAATAAAATTGGATGATGATGGTGTGCAAGGTTACTGTACAAATAATTATAATAACGATGATGAATTTGATGAGGATTCTGACCATAAGGGTCATGGCGGAAAAGTTGATAATAAAACTGCAATTGATACTGATAATAGCGATGATGACGATGTTCCTGATGATGAAGAAGATGATATTGATTATGATAATACTTCTGATGAAAGCAAATACGATGATGATGATGATGATGATCATGGTAAAGTATACAAAACATGAAAAAGAGGAGAATGATGATAAATTTGACGAGAATGAAGATGTTATGATGAAATTCATATCTCAATTTGCTTATCAATATTTTTCAAAAGCATAATTCTATGTCAAAAATCCTTTGTAATTATTCTTGTTTTTCATGACGAGCAAAAAGCGAAACTAAGAATTAAAATAAACAAAACCTTGCAATGCATGTTATTCAAACGAAATACTCCTTAAATTGCAGGATTATAACCTAAAGTTGGATAGGGCTTGCTTGCCATGGAGACTTCTCAAATAACAAACCATATTTTTAACACAGTATTGAATAAGTAGAATATGTCATGTTAAAAATAGATTGCAATTACTAGCCATTGTCCTCTTGTTCCAATCTTTAACATTTTATTTGTATATTAGATAATATGTAATAGCTCCGTCCCTTAGCAAGAGCCATGGACATGCAATCAACTACATGGCAACAAGAAATGTCAAACGACACATATACCCCCCCCCCTTTCTAGCCCTTGACTCACATTATTGGTTATTTTGTCATAGTAACTTGTCATAAATGGGTACATGGAAGTGTTCAGTTATTGATTAAGAAAAATAATGAAGTATTTGTGATAGTTTTCAAGATAATGAGTGGAAACCATTCTGACATTTAAGGCCCTTGTGACCTAGACCTTTGAACAAGTGACCATAAATCAATAGGTGTCATCTTATAGTTATAACCAATCAATATTAGAAATATGAAGATTGTGTGATTTAAGCTTTCAGCATAAACATAACTGCCACTCAAGAACCCTGTCACCATGACCTTTGACCTAGTGACCCCAAAACCAATAGGGGTCACTTACTGTTTTTGACTATCAGTATGTGAAATATAAAGACATTTTGATAAATAGTTTTAAAAATAAAAAAATAGAAAAACTTACTCGACATTGAGTGCGTGTGACGAATTTTCAAACTTGACTGAAATGGCGTTGTTGCTGCAAAATAAAATGTTCCCGATAAAGCCTGGATTATAGATAAATATATAAACAAATTTACAGACGTAGTACTTGAAAGTGTAAATTATAAAATCCTACTTTATATATAATGTGAGGCCAAATGTGGGTGAAAGTTCGAACCAATAAATATGTGTTTATAACTGAACAAATAAACAACGTATATACATCAAATTAGACAAGCAGCCGGGTTAAATAATTAATTAGTTTCTCACTCAACTAACATGACTAAAATATGAAAAGCAAGATCAACAAGGAAAGGCGGCGTCCAATGAACGCAACCCCCATATATAACCCAGCAATAAGAACCAATAGCAAGGAGCCCAAGCTGACCCCAAACAAAAACAGGACAGGGCAAAGACAGAGCACGGACAGGTTAATCATTAAATGATAAATAATTTGTAACTGATTAGGAATTAAGCCCTGTTTGGTATTTTCGCAGCACTGCTTGTTAAATAGACTTAAACATACATATATTCAAAACAAAGCTTTAAAGAATCAATCAGCGCAGTTAAGATAGAAACAATCAACAAATAAGGAAACATGCATGCAATCAAATAACATACTAAAAGAGGGCCTATTTGTAAACTATTGTTTTATTGGGTTAAGATGGAGGGCAATACTTATCATTAAAACGTTCAAAGATTCATAAAAGATGAAACCAGAAATTTTGTTCCTTTTTATTTGAAATTACATTCTTAATTCTAAATTTGAAATTCTATTATGTTCAACACTTTTTTCAAAAACTATTTTGAAATAGTGGGCATTAATGAATTAAATATTTGGTAATACACATCTAGCCTTACCACTCAATCACTGTTTAAACGATACTTAGTAAATTATGTACAATTTCCGTAGAAGGTAACGAAAACAACATTTCCACGATAAAAACATAAGAAATATTAACTATAATTAAGATATCTATAAAGTTTAGTTAATGAGATCCTTGGAAGAAATGAGGAAATAGGAAAGTAAAAAATTAAAGCAAAATAATATACGATGTAAATATAAATAAAAACTTACATTTCACTAAGTTCACCGCTTGGACTAGACAAAAACAAGTCAAATCTAAAGCCTTGTCCGATCCCTTTAACATTTTTCCAAAATATGGGTTCAAAGATCTGAAAAAAAGAACATTTTATGTAATAAAATTCTTAAGTATGGACATTAAAATGATGTCATCAGTGACAACTAAATGTAGGGTCAAGTTGTTTCTAGGTCAATTTTCATTGCACAATCATGAAGACAGCAATTGTGCTAAGGATTTTAGGAGAATGAATTTACATTTTGTAGATAAAGCTCGTGTTTTTATTATATTGTAATAACACTTACTTGTATCGCAATAGTGCACGTCAAATCATGTAGATTTAGTCCTGTCGAAAGAAATATTTTGGTTTCGTTTTGAAGATGTTTAAAGTATTGCTCATCTTATCCTATGTAGTAAATGTTTTATTCTATTTCACATTGGCAAAATTGATAAGAAATATATGTGGCCTCAGTGAGAGAAAAAGTTAAAATAAAAAAAAACTTTTGTATGCTACGGAAAAGGTTACACTTTAACGCGAGTTAAACACTGACAAACACTTACACTCGTGAATGTGACGAATAGGTTCTTCTGTGCTCAAAAGTGACTTTTAAAAGGTATATATTGTTTCTGGAATTGCCAAATAATAAATTTCTATAAAGTTTGATAAACGAATTCACATTTAAGTACTGTGCACATGTATCGGTATTAAAACCATGAATCTAATTGTCGCGCGCATTAACATGACGTTGACATTTTATGCTTATTAAACTATATCAGTCAGATTTTGTTTTTTTGTGTAGAACAATTTTAAAAATAATTGCCTAAAATTACATAACTTGGATCTTTGCCGTGTAAACCTGATAGTATTGTTACTTAGTTGCATTACTTATGATTCTGTATTTATCAAAAAAACCATGAGTCGCCAATAAAGAACAGGAATGGACGCCATGTTGAGTAAACAAAGTAGAAAATAGTAAACAGATAAATGATTTTACAAACCAAAAACCATCGATCACAGTCAAATTTCTTGAAACAAAACATTCAAAAAGACGGAAATAACAATGATTATCAATAAATATATAATAGCAGCACCAGCAAGATCTATGACTAGGGTCCATATGACACTGATGCGTCCATTGAATAGTTGATAGCTAACAATTATGATTACATTTTGAAGAGCATATTCAATTTTTATCCTTCAACTGTCAAATGACTTACTTCTTAATTTACATATCAGACAATTCACTTATTCGGTATATGCATCATGTTTATCATGTTTTAGATTTTAATATGTGGTCCTTTTTTAAATCTTAAAATGCTACAAAAATCCTGTTGATGACATCTGCAGGTCATGCTGCGTCCAATAATCCATGCATTTACAGCCAATGACCACATCGATAAGAAATAGTCCCATATAGCCCTATCGTTTTTATTCAGTTGAAAGAGACATTATTGTTAAAAAATTCTACTCGATTTAAATGTTTTCAAACCATAAATATTCCGTTCCCTTCTTCTCTTTACAATGTGTATTGGTGAGCTCTAAAGCTGGGTTGATTGATATAAGTAACTAAATTTGTTAGATATGCAGTTTATCAACAGAAATAAATGTAATATCAAAATAAATAGTGTTAAGTGTTCTTAAGTAAAAATAGTGCCACTGTGTTAAAAAGCTGATAATATCATACTAAAACATTGCTACATGGTCTATCACAAAGCATGTACATGTATATGGTTATACGTATAAATAACTCTTTACAAAAAAATAACCTTTGATTTTAAAATTGCCGCGTTGAGGCGTAACCCTTTTCACAGCATACAAATGGCAGTGATCCTGAATGTGCACGTTCATTGCACAGGCTAGCTACTAGTAAGTCAAACCGAGCCTGCAACATTTTCAATTTTTGCCATTTTGGGCGATATTTAAGGTTTCTGTTTTCTCTCTATTTTGAATATTCCACGTTTAGTATTGCTACATGACACTAATAGATTTTTCATAATCATTACCGTGAAAGAGCCAATCAATTTCTTTACAAATACAGACAACAATATTACGACTTTTAAAACACTTATAGCGCATCGAGTAAAAATCATGTAAATATTCGTTTGTATTTATATAAATCGTATACGAAATAAAATGTTTTTTTGGTTAACGAGAACGGAAGGCATGTTGCTTTGCAATTGCAACGGATTCTAAAATCTGCTTTAAACTGTAGTCCTTTTTTCGACTTTGAACTGGTGCCAGAAATGATAATTGAAGAAAAGGGCAAGATTTACGCCATTAATAATAAACATATAAACATATTAAGGTAGGATTTTGCTGTCTGTACCCCCGGTTTATGTAAATCTGACCTATTAATCATGACGTAGACCAATTTACGCCAGAAAACGAAATAGATTGCAACTGAAGCCCGCTCTAATACAAGCAACTTCCAAGGTTATGCAAAGTGTTTGATAAAACGGCTTATAAACTGACGAATATTCAATATTCAGTGGAAAGCTTATATTTTTCCCCGTAGACTGGTGCATATCCCAAAAAAAATTGGTACAGAAATAAAATATTTACGGCTATTTTCTTTTCCGAATCGAGCACATTTGTCTTGAAAATGATGCCGAAAATGACGTCAATGTCACGTGGTATTGCTACACTGCGTTTGGACATTCTTAAGGGATTCTATTTTTTTTCTTTATTGTGTTGTTTTTTTTCTAATTTATTACTCATTGTGATGTTTCTTAGCACAAATATAGCTAAAACATATCCGTATTAGAAGTAAATAAAAAGTCTTAATGAGTTGTTTATATATTCATATCAAGATTTGATATGCCGTACTTAAAATGTCTAAGCATTAAAGTCTGAGCAAGGCAAACCTTTATAAGACCTTCCACTTTATTTTGGGGTTTTGGATTGTGAATATAACAGACAAGTGACTATTGTATACAGTTAAAATTCGTTCGCTCGAACTCGGATCGCTCGAATACCTCCCTTTGCTCGAACTCATCGCCCAGTCCCGGCAAAATTCCTATATAATATATATTGTTCTACCTCGGATTGCTCGAACACCGATCGCTCGAACTCTCGAACCTGATCTCTGGTCCCTTCGGCAGATATATAGTACTTGTATTACATGTTGGATATCTTTCTACTGAGATTGTGTCAGATTTTATAGTTTACCGAAATGCGTTACGTTTTGTGCAGGAATTAGTTACCTTCACTCCAGTTACTGGATGAAAATAGAGCATGCACGTTGATAAGCTACATTTTGTGAAGGTTTTTCTATTGTGAAGACAGGGAATAGGAAAACTCAGATTCAGATGCTCGTACAGTGGTTACATTGTCTGGGGTCTTATATTTTAAAGGCATGGAAACAGTTTTAATTTTGCCTAATATTAAACAAATAAGAAAATCCATCAAATATCGAACAAATACGGAATACCGTTAGGGCCATCGTGGTTAGACTTTCTAATCCTGAGGGCGACAGTGCGATAGTGCGATGACGACAATATGACAGTGCAATGACGACAGTGCGATAGTACGATGACGATAGTGCGACAAAGCAATGACGACAGAACGATAATGCGACAATGCGATAGTACGATGGTGACCGTGCGATAATGCGATTGCAACAGTGCGATAACGCGATGACGACAGTGCGATAATGCAATGGCAATAAAACGATAGTGCGATAACACTATTGCGTTGTCGCCATCGTACTATCGTACTGTCGACATCGCAATATCGCATTGTCGTCATCGCACTATCGCACTGTCGCATTATCGTATTGTCGTCATCGCGTTCTCGCACTGACGCCATAGCACGTTTCCCTTAAAAAATAAGTTAAACAGTAAGAATTTTGCCGGAATAAATATAATGGGTAGATGTGTTTTTCAACTTTGAAACACATTGTCTCACTATGTCCAGCAGCGGATTCAGTTGGCTTCAGTATAATATGCTGACCAGTTATACTTATAGTAGGATCTGCCGTTAAGTTAATCTTATAATGAAAATTGTTGACCACTTATGTTAGATATATAGAAAAAATTATGTGTTGACGTATATTTCTAATAACATGTATCTTTATTCACAATGTTAGTAATATAATACATTATACATCTTACAAAACAATAAAAACACTCATGACGATCTATGAATAAAATTATTTCGTCTTCTTTATACAAGTAAGAAACAATGATTCAATTTTTTTGCATCTTTTAAATGTCAACATCAGATCATTTTCATCTGATATATTTCTATTACATTGTATAAAAAAGTTTCACACAATTTATTACATTTTCTGTCTATTTATTACTCTTTCAGTATTCATATATAAAACGTTTCTTATTATTAATTTATGATTTTATTTAAACATTATTAGTATACAGAAAAGAAAAATTATGAAAAGGAAAAGAAAAAACAAGAAGAAAAGATTTATTGACAAAAGTAAAATTATCCCATATTCTATACCGTCAGCTTAATCGCCAGCAGAAGGCAAGAGTCGACAATGCGATAACGCGATGACGACAGTGCGACAGTGCGATGGCGACAGTGCGATAATGCGATGACGACAATGCGACAGAGCGATGGCGACAGTGCGATAACACTATCGCTCTGTCGTCATTGTACTATGGAGTTATCGCATTATTGCTATCGCACTGTCGCATTGTCGTCATGGCATTGTCGTATTGTCGTCACCGCACTGTCGCTCTAGTGCATTGTCGCCCTCTGTATTTTAACGAATTACCACGAATGCCCTCACGGTATTCCGTAAAAAAATCAGATAGCCTTGTGTTTAGATGCTCTTTCTATAACTACACCGAAGTTTTAAATGGTTTACATGAGTGTCTTCCAAGAGTATTTCCAACTAAAAGAATTTACACAATCACTTTGGTCGATAGAAATAAAGAGACTTGGAAATATGCAGAAATATTAATGTTTTAATTGACTAATATGTACAAGGTATTTGCTGTTTTTCATAATTAAATAAATTATATATATATATATGTATATAAATACCTGGGAAATTAAGTAAAGAAAAGGGTTATTAAAACCATTTTATTGAAGAAATGAATTGGTAACATACTTACATTTACAGGCTTGGTAAATTTCTTTTCAAAGACATTTGTTTCTGCATAGATATATCCCGCTTTTTTAGGATCATCGGATGTTGTTTCTTCACATTTATCTGTTTCCTCGGACACACGAACGCCATGTCCTGGCTAAATAAAGAACAAATGAACAATTTTACAAGACAAATTTATTTCAAACGGTAAAGAAAAAGGTAAAACATATTAATGGAATCCATACAAAGAACATTATTAAGGGGAACTAGAAACTTCACCACACGAACAGATATCCCTGCCATTTGACATTTTTAACTCCAAGTACAACTTTGTATTTTTATGGTGATCATGTGTAATAATTCCTTTTAAAAACCTATCATACATATATAATATAATATAATATATAATTCTAAAGGTGTAATCCATCGGAAGCATTTATTGCAACGAATTACAATAACATTTTAGACTCGGTTTGTCTGACATTGGTCCATACAGCCTTAACCTGTACTGAAGACTATATTTACACGAGTGAAATCCCGTGATGCGACATTGCCTTTGGGTAAGGGACTAGGGTCTCTTGAGGGAAACAGTGTCATCTGATACTTACCAAGACTTACAGATAAGTTTACGGACACGAACTCTTAACTAAAATTCACAACGTATGACAAAAACATTAAATAAAGTCTCTTATTGTGACCTTGACCTAAGATCTATGGGCACGTAATTTTTTAAAGCGACACATCTACCTTTGTCAGTTAAATGTACAATTTTTCCCCATCATGCATGCATGAGGCAGGGGTCGAAGACAAAATATGTAATTATTCAAATACACAAACGCGCATGCTCACACGCACACGCACGCAGGCACACACGCACACAGTTAAAGCAATGAAAATTGTAAATGTTAAAAAATTATTTTAGTAATTTAAGTTAAAGTAGAACTATTTTGTACCTTCTGGTTAAAAATCGTTTCTCTATAAAAAAAATAAATTTAGCCAAGATATCTTTCCTTCGGGTCTTTATAAGCTATTCAAATTCTAACTAAATCAATCCTTATGTCGCTACTTTAAATACTTACAATTAAAGGCGATAGGGAAATTCGTTACCAAAATAATTGCAATCATAAAGTATACATTCATCAATATCTTTATGTAAATTAAAATAAATATTTTCTTCGAAGACCGAAATTTTTAAACCATATATATTACCTTTAAAAGGTATATAAAAAAAGGTTTGTTTGTCATGAGATTGATGACTGTTTAAATTATTCAAGCATCTTACTGGGACGCAGATTCCCATAATGACTGGTTTTGTAAGATGATCAAAAAATAATCTGGTCTTTAGTTTATAAATAATTTATTCTAGTTCGACTGTGTAGAAAGCTATAGCATAAAGACACTCCTTCTAGTTCGTTACTGAAACCATCTGAAAGTAACTACGGTTTTTCCTTAACTGGATTAAACCACCTGACTTGCGATCAGTCTATTACTAAAACAAGAAAAGCATTGATGCAAAGCATCAAGATTCAAGATTCAAGATTTTATTAAGGCACAAACATAATGTCTATTGCCATAAACAAAAATGGCGTGTATACATTCATATAAACATATTAACATATTAACAAATGCATAAAACATCTAAATACATCAAAGGGGTCCAAGCAAGAAATGCAGCAGGTGAAGTTGAACTAGTAGAACATCGTATGGCCAGATATTCATATATACTTCCAATGGTTAATTACCAGAATTTTATAAGTATTATTTATGAATGGGCTAAAAAAGACATTGTTCATCATGAACTTTGGTAGACATGCAAGAGATTAGCATATTAATATTTTTTTCCACAGGAAATTGAAATTCTTTCAATTTTAACGATAATATCCAATTGAAAATATACAGGTCTACAATATCCAAAATATACCTCCTATAGGGTATAATTTTTTTTTATTATAAAGAGGGAATTTTTGGATATTATCATTAATATTTGTTATTTGATAGAATTTCAAGTTTATCTGGTATTATCTTTGGAACCAGGGTCTTTCAAATTGGACCCAGTTGGAACATACAAAATAGTACTCAAAATGAACAAAGAATGTTAATTGATTTAGAAAGTTCAATCTACTATTTTAATGAATTACTCCGAAAACATCGTCTGACCCACCGGTGTGTTTACATTCCTATTTATAAACCCTTAACTACTCATATTAAAACTGAAGACGAAAGTTTCTGTTGTAAAAATGTCGGCAAGTAAACATTCCACTCAAACTTCCATAAAATCGATTGCCTTCAAAGAAATAAAGAACAGTGTCAGCTTGACACTTGAACTATAGTGTACTACTGCTACACCAGTTAACTGTCGCACAACATCAAAATAAAAGCGACATTTAAAGCTATGAACTAGGTATATTTAAATATTCACGGTAAAAATGTCATAAGTGCAATCAGGGCCGTAAAAAAGAAAACTGGAGAGACCTACAGAAGAGACAATTTCGAAATTATATAACTATGATTTAACAGTTCGTAAAAATGGCCTATTTAAATTTTTTCTATAAATTTATTAAGAGTGCAATTAATTGTTTGAATATGTTTGCATTTTATTTCCTGCAAAATTCTCCAGTTCGTTATTTATTATCATAGCGCGACACGAATGACCGTTTCGTTAAACTAAAAATACTTCTATAAATAGATTTTTTGGACTTTCGCAATGTTAAGGTCATCATTCTATTTATAGGAACAGCAGTAACATGCATACTTACCCACATGATTAAAAACACAAAAAAACGTATAGCGATAAATTGACTGATAAGATAATATTATTTGAATATGTTTGCATTGCGAGCTTCTCCAGTTTGCTATTCATTGTACATATCCGACATTTCATTTTTGATAATCAAACACCAATATACCAATATAAATGATCGGCTATTATGACAGACGAAAAGTCACGAGAAATTGCAATTGCCCTTTCATAAAATCTGATTACAATGCATATAGGCCGATGACGCATTAACAACTAGATCACAAAGCAAAATGATCGTGTCTTTTTAAAAAAATAAAAAAATATGAAAATTGAAAAGAAAAATAAGTTTTGTCTGGTTTTGCACGAACAAAATTTAGGTCATATGAAAAATATGCATAGACTGTAGTTATTCGAACCCGTTTAGTCGCAGTTACCTGCCATCAAGAAGATTGATGAATAAGCTGTAAACTGTATTTTCATAATAAAATAATCAAAATTCTTTTTAATAAAAGATGAGATATAAATTTCTTATTGATTTTATGTTACTCATTTGTAAATACTTTATCGTTTTATGAATATTTGTTAATGCACGATTTACCCTCATTCAAACTGACCACTATGGAAAAATCGGCATCCATTTTTCGCGAGATGTTTCAGCTCATTTATAATATTTAAACTAGTTAATATTTATATCAGTTAATAATACGATGATTTATGAATATGTATCAAATTGTGAAAACCAATTGTTTTAAAAGTAATTTTAAAGCAATGTTTGTGTAGGTAGGTTGAACGTTGTTTAAAAACGATTGGTGTAAATTAAGTTTGATTAAGTCACTTTTATCTTCATTTAGTAAGACCGTAAACAAACTGTAAAAGTTCTTGATCAATAAAGTTATTTACTATTATACCTTAGAAATAATTCATTAATTGTCTATTGATTACTTATCTCAATATACATTTTAAAGCATAATTATAAGATAACTTAAATCATTGAGTGATAAAATTCTTTAATTATCATTATTTTGATGTAATCAATGATAAATAATCAACATATAAAGGTAACATGCTGCAAGCCGAATCGGCCCTAGTTGTTTTCGGTGCTTCCGGGGGAACGATTTCTTCCAGACTTTTCTTTCATAGTTGACGTTGATTATTGCATAATTAAAATTTAAATACGCAATGGTGGTTAAAACCAAAGTTAAAATTTTCTGCGTCTAGGTTAATGCATTTTAATTAAAAAAATCTAAATAAGTAAAAAAGATACTTACGAAATATTTAAATCTATGATAATCGAGACATATTCTCACCTTTATTTTATGTTCGAAAGTCACGTGAATTCACAACTCCGATTGTTTTAGCCTATAATTTATCTAGTAAACTGATCTTTCAGACTTGATTCTAGTACATTTGTTGATAATGAGTCCGTTTTTAATAATCATTATTTACGAATCAAAGATTGTCAAAAAAATAAACTTTACGCTAAAGCGATGCATAAATTGATTGATCTTTTAAATTTGATCTGATAATTAACACGTTTTCGAGTGTGTTTTTTTTTTTTTTTTTTTTTGTTGTTTTTTTTGCTCTTAATATAGAAAAGTTTGTTTCTTTTAAGGGCAGCTAAATCAAGTCAATGTACAAAATTTCAACAACCATTTTGTATTGTTAAAACAGTCCTTGAAGTCATATATTAATAAGATCATAAAAAGCTGAGTTGTATCAATAAGATCATCAACAAATTATGCAAAGTCATAAAGGTTATATTTTTGTTATGTTTTAATGATAACTAATTTAAAAGTATATGAGTATGCCCCTCAACGTAAGTTTTAACAATATCTGAATACACTATAATAACATAACATGCTCCAAACATAAATGAAATAAATATAAATCATAAATGAAGAAAAATGTTTTGTTGAAACATTACCTTGCTTAAAAGCTTTACTGCACACGAGTTTAAATCTTTGCTGTGAGTGTTGACGCGAAAATATCCTGTCGTTATTTCCAAACCATACCCTGTATAAAATATTATGCTCAAACCGAGAATGAAAGCCATTCCGTTTTTCAATTTAAAAACCATGATGATCACTATTAATTCGTCTCTGTAGCTAAAGGTTATCTGTGGACTGGCACTTTCCGCCTGGTAATAAAAATGTGGTGCTTATTTCTTACGCGAGGGATGTCCCTAAAGTTTTATACTTCGTGCCCGGATAATGACTTTCAATACTTCGTACTTTTATTATTCAAGGTCACACTTACAGGTTCTCACAATAAGAGTTTAAATATTCACCCATTCGTGTCAAGACTGTTACTTTCTCATGCAAGGATGGATTTTAAATAAACTACAACACTAAGAAGGCGTGTCCCAGGACCTATGTCCCTTTTTCCAAGAATAAGGTTACATTTATAGTTAATTATTCTCACGAGAAAAGTTTGTAGGTACAGATTTGTGTCCTTTGTGTACTTTGATCTGCATTAAAGGATATTTACATATAAGGCACAAATGTCTACCATATCAGGACGGCGTGTCGCATCCTAAGACCAATGTCACTACATAAAAGGTTAAGGTCACAGGTACAAATTTGTGTACGGACCGTAAATTTGCCATGTATTTGAAGATTTTAGAATAACTTAACATCAATATCTGTCACATCAAGATGACGTTTCGCGTCCCTACCTCCAAGGATAAGGTGGTAATTTGCTGATATAGCACATCATTTTACAAATACAATCTTAAGCAATTAATTACTTTTATTCCTGTTTTTTTCTTTTCACGATACCTGTCTGAAATATTTGCAAACCCTTTTGCAAGGGTATTTGCAACTTTTGCATGTCAACTCTTGTTTGTCTCTATGTCGTATTAATTGAGTGATGTGACATCGATAATTGAATATTTTTTTCTAAATGGAACTTTTTACTCTGTATCATAACGCCGTTGATTCGCGCGTCGTAGAGCATTCAAACAAATCATTCTCCAAAACACATTGAACATAATTATTGTTATATAATGGAGACTAATGAGCGGTGAATTATAGTAGTTCGATATTTGATTTTTAAACGTAATAAAAGAATTTGAAGAAAAGTTCGTAGCGCACGTTTTTACTGCTGAAAATTTTAAGATCTTTTTTTCATCCCTGAATCTATATTTATAATATTCTACATATTTGGACATTGAAGATATTTTTGCAAGTAAACTGAAATGATATCATAGGTGCGCACCTGAGATAATCTTACTGGAGTGTCAATGATCTTAAAGGCCACAATTTAATACCTTACTTAGCTGTATGCATGAGTTCGATAATTATCGCCATGATATTGTTACCATGGAAATATTTGTTGTGGAAATAAACATACTGTTACACTGAATTGATGTTCAATTTTTAGCTTTATTTTTCTTTATTCATATTTTAGACCCCAAATGTCAAATAAAATGTTCAAAAGTAGTTTTTTTCCCTAACGTTTGTTACCATAAATAGTAACACGATTCCAAGAAGTTGTGTCACCTGAACGACTGTGAAAAAATGTCAAGAATTTCGAATATTACCCTCTTAATTAGCTGATCGACCTATTTCATATAGTCCTAATTGCCTTGCAAGATCAAACATTGTTCGATTGTAAAGATTATTAATTTAACATCTACGAGACTTTTACATACATCAATTGGGATCAAACAGAACATAATTGATTTTCCTTGTTATTCTCTTCAGAACTCCTTAGTGAAGAGGTGTTGGAGGGAATTATACATATAAAGCTATTGCCTACCCCTTAAGGTATATTTTGCCATTTTAGGTTTTATCTGCATTTAAGAAAGTGAATTACCTGTAAGGGGACTGTACATGCATGTAAGGGAAGATTAAATTGACAAGGCATGTGTGCCTTCTGTCAGGATTGATCTTATCTTATCTCAACTGGCATCCACATTTATCAACGTCTGCCGGGATGTCAGAGATCGTTTTGACAGGATTTAATTGTATCTAACGAGGCATTATTTCTCCGTGAGTGAGACATTGAGTCTTATTGTCATTTGTCTCTTACTGCTTATCTTAGCCTGAGAAATCATGCGGGTTTAATAATCGGTCACCTGCGAATTAATTGATTAGTCGCCGGTAGAAACCGGCGACTATATTTGTAACAGTTTAATATTATACCTATGGTAGGAGAAGGCATTAATTTCTGTAAATAAAAGCATATCAATTACTGAACAATTAAAGACTACAATTGTTTCCAGTAATCTCAAAAATTCAAACATACAATAATGTTGCTCAATGAAATGAAATATTCAAATATTGACATCGTAAAAAGCAACATTACAATTTTTATAAAATGAATTAATGACGTATCCCTATGGACCAGTCATTGAATTTAGGGATGATTTTACTTTTTTTAAAGTGTTAAGCGTTGCTATTTTATGATAAATAAATCATGCATGATATTTGAAATGACACTTTTTAAATTATCTGGTTGTTTGAATCTTATGAGACTTATTCTATTTTTTTATTATAACTTTTGAATGGTTGCCAGCTGATAAAGTGCAAATCAAAGTAATTTTGTATGAAAAATCTCGTTATGACAGTAGGGGCCGGAATCGTATTGGATACAAAGAGAATACGTGTGTTGATAGTTTATCGCACTGAAAGGCAATTAACAGGAATATCAGCTAAATAATATATTTTTTCGATAGTGCATAAGAATTTTTTTATGCAGACACCACATTTATAGTAGAATTGCATTGTTTTATGCAATAATTAAGCATAAATATTTCCATAGTCACTTTGCAAATATTCGATGATCGGTAATAATTTGTCGGTAATTATTGGAGGCTGAAAAAAACCATACGGATTTCAAATATATGGTACAACGGTATATGTATAAAGTAGAATTACAAGTAGAATTATAATCATATCACTTGCTTTACAAGCCTCGATGACAAGGTGTTAGATTTTAAGTTAGTTTCAAATTTAAGACTGTAGGTTCAATTAAGTGATCTTTAATGTTTTCTTTTATAATACTTTTTGTATTTTGCAAAACTTGACCGTTTATCAAAATTATGAAATAAAAAAGTGCTAGAAGTGAAACACACGATTTATCAACTTATGTTTCATAAAGTTAAAAGATATAATAAAAATCAATTTATGAAAACTACACACAGGATTTGTCTGAGATTCGAACTTGCGCCTACTACATGAAGGTTACAACTTCGCCATACTTACCACCAGGCCATCAAGCAGTATTAATTGATATATGACATGTAGTTATACTTATACAATAAAATCGTTAACATTAATCATTATAAGTTATGTAAGCAAACGAAACAGCAAACGAAACAGCTCCCGAAAATTAGTGATTGCAAAACAATACTTGGTTATTTAATAATGATAACAGTTTCTTGACAAAACTGCTAGGCAAGTTTGCTTCAAATATGATGTTTTATTATAACATAACATAAATTTATTGCATAAAACTCTCAGCAAGAAATATATAATCGTGGCAAGTAAATGAAAACGTGTTTATGAATAAACATTACTCAACTTATTGTTCCTCTTTTCTTTATACCAGAACCATTGAACTGATTTTTTTTATTTATGATGATACAATCATATATCTATCCGGCGACTTGATGCTTTAGCATCAAAATCTCTACTTGTTATTATTGTTGAGGTATCCTGAAAAGTCCGTTAGTTGGATCGACCGCCGATATAATTTAAACGAAGCAAGTGATAAAACCAGCGATGATAACAGAACTTGCTTTCCTTTGTT